ATTGTATAAGTGGTAAATTCTATTGATTTAGATACATACATGGTAGATATGGATTAAAAATAGGGTAGAGCACTTTTCTATATATGTTTTCCCTTTTAGCATATCTATATTTTATATTTTACAAGATTTTAAAAGACAAAAATAATCTTACGATTTATAATATGATTCACGATTCAGTTTGATTCAATTTTCTCAATGATTTACGGTAGGATTACAATTTTTAGGACATTGATTCATAGAACTTAGGAGTTCATAGTTAAAAACTATAGATCATCAAATTGATATGGTATGCCATTTGAATGCGGAAGATTAGATGAAATCTTGTTTGAATGGTGGAGAGCAGTTGGCTGACCATGGCCACAGAAGGTCATTCTGATGATTCAAATTGTAGGTGTTATTTGGTACATTACTTTACAACATTTGAACAAATTTTTCTGTTTAGATCTGTAAAGCACTACTTGAATATCACTGTAATAATTAATTGAAATCTTGAGGCCGACCAATATAAACAAGTGGGAAATTTTGTAATTGCTCACTCATTGTTAACATTGCCATGGATATATATATAAGAAAATATAAGGTGATTAATCAGAAATAAAAAAAAAATAAAGAAGATAGGGGTTAGGTGCAAAGCCACGGGACATTATAATTTAACCTTAACACTAACCAATCCAGTCCAAACAATCTTATAACCCATCAAGCATGCATATAGGGTGTCAATGAATCGGTTTAGAATTGGACCCCGTTCAGTTTAAAATTAATTTGGATGGATTGGACGGACTAATAAGACATATTGTTTTGGATTAATCCAGTCCAAAATATTTATTAGATTGGATTGAACCTGGTCCATTCGTAATAAATTTATATTGGATTGAATTGGATTAAGCCGATAATATCTAGTTCATTGATTTAAGATAAGAATATATGTGTCAATGAACCAGCTGGTTTGGGTTGAAACCAATCTAAATCAAAATGAATTTGAACAGATTGAATGGTCCAAGCATTGGATTAGACCAGTCCAAATTGGTCCAAAACATTCATTGGATTGGATTGGACCTGATCCATTTATAATGAACTCGCATTGGACTGGATCAGATTGGACCAAATCGAGTCCAATTGACACCCCTCCGCATGTTTGCGGAAGGATGATATCTTTGATTAATGGAAATATTGTGCAAATGTGCAATAATCTTTTTTTTTTAGGATTTATAAAAAATTTGTGCACAGATCAGTAATGCTTGATTTGGATATACAAATCAGGACTCCCAAATTCAACCAGTTGAACTACACCGGCCATGTAGCTATTTCCATTGTTCATATTAAAATTAATGATCCTTTTTTTTCTTGGGATTAATTAAAATTGTCCTTTTATTTACTTAAATAAATCCTTTGCTGTCAAATAGTGCCGGCCTAGAAAAAGTATTCTGTTTTCTTTGACCACTGAGAAATGGACACAGCTACAATTAAATTGCTTTCGATCGAAATGATTTCATATTGTTTTTAGATTTCTAGAAATTGACTTCATCATGAGAGAGAAAGTTTGAAATAGTTTCCTTACTTTGTGGTTATGATTATAAGGTTTGCTAATTTTCTTACACAGTTAATGTCCGGCAAGGACATCAACATTAATTGGGCTTTTCGGGTTGAGACCTTTTGCACCAAGTCGTCCCTGACCACTTCTCCGCCATTATCAGTCTGGCGGAGAGCTTCCGGGTTTCCTCCCAGCGAAGAAGGTTCTGTGACCAAGTAATAATCTTTCTGTGGAAGAACAGACTTAGCTTTGGATCTTTGACCTTTTCTTTTTTCTGTTTTCCTTTAATTTATTTATCATTTCTTTGGATGGTTGACTTAGAATAAACTTTGGACCTTTCTGGTCGTCGCTATGACTAGACTTTGTGTTTGTATATGGGAGAGAGAGAAAAAGACTAGTTTATAGACTTACTTTATGTGGGTTGGCTCTATTGACACTCTTTTTCATATTACCACTCCTTCGTCCTCTTATTACCATTATTAATTTATTATTTATGGCCTGTTTGACATGTTTTTTTTTGGAAGATTTTGTGGTAGATTTGATGGTTAAGAGATGTATTGAGGGTTTGCATGAAGATCTGAGCAGTCCGAAGTATGTTTGGTAGATGTATGTTTTTCCGTGGATCTTCCTACATGAGAATAAAACGCAAAAGGTGTAAAAAATTTTATTTGGAGCTTTCCGAAATCAACCTAAAATGGGCTTCTCATGGCTTTTCGGCGTTTCAGTTTTTGACAATTAGATCTTCCGTGTACCAAACGGAAATAGACCAAAAATCGGTCTGCCCAACTTGTAAACAGCCAAAAGACCACACGAAAAGATGCGCCAAATGAGCTTTAATCTTTGTCCATTTTTTGAAGAAAAAAAAAACCACTTTTTTTTTTTTCTTTAAGTCAAACTCATCACGCTTCATATTTCATAATTTCAAGGTATATTGTTGATTTGATGATTACATTACAGAATATTCTGAAGGGAACCGTCTTTTATCTTTAGCACTCTCCTTTTTAGTCCATTACTCTCTCTCTCTTCAACGTGAAACTAGTGATAAATATTAGATTGTATTATTACATATGGTATGTTCCCAATATTGGCAGCAAATATTCTGTTCACATGGAAGAAGAAACTTGTGAAGTATCATTTAAACAAAAATTTTGAATTGCCATATCAAAATAAACCCGTGACAGCAATGCATAGGGTTTCCTTTTTTGTTTTGATAGGCAGAATTTTCTTGTCTGCTAAATCTTCTATATTGGATCTACAAACAAGACCATTGTTCATTCAAGCTTTTAAATCTTGTAAAGGCATACAGGTTACAATATTATTACAATCTTGATGTGCAAAAGCATATGTTGTGCTTTCAAACCAGATTTCTGTAATATTAAATTAGGGTTGCTGAGAAGATAGAACCTGGGATGTGCCCAAATCAGCAGATTTCCTTATTGCTGAGAAAGCACTTGGAAAACTGTGGCTGTGGTTCAACCACAACTTTAATTAGGGGGTTTGAAAATTAAGCATAAATTGACAAAAGCAATTAGAGGTTGATTTGATTTTTAAAAATTCCCTATATCCTTGGACTCATGAACTTGACAAATGTACCCTGATGTACCTTTGTACAGTTTATTAGCTTTTTCTCCAGTAATGATCAGGAAATTGTTGATGATGATTTCTTGACACAACTGTTCTCTAGAACACTGTTAGTCTATAACACATATATGGCATACATAGGTGAGTGATATATATTACAAACAAACCCAGATAGACCTTCATTTATTGGTCCACACCCTGTATGATCTAGAAGAATGCAATGAAGTTCATGGAAAGGATATTAATTGGAGCCATAAATCACCTTTTGACAAACCCACCTCAAAGATTCTTCTTTAAAAGTTTTAATAATAATAGTACTTAGAAACTTGTGCTTTTCCTCTTTCTTTTTCTTTCTGAAAATGATTTCATCAGGAAATGCCATGGAAAATTAAGGAGATAATGAAATATGGGTTCCATTGTAGAAATATTTATAACAAATGTGGATGGTAGCTCTTCAGCCTGACCCAGTACCGAAAGCTCTCTAAAACTTGACTGTGAGTTATAATCCTGTGAAGCATGCAGACATGTCCTCCCTGGTGTAACCACTTGTTCTGGTTTTGGCCGGATCAGAACTTCTTTTGACCCAGAAAAGATGTTCTCTTTTCTTTCTTTTAATTAATATTAACTCCAAATTAATATGAGTTTGGTTTGAATAGGAACCCAACTTGCTTGACCCAATCCAATTTGAACTTACTCTGTGTTGGCTTTTCCACAGCTTTGATGCTGAGAACACAAACCAATCGCTTCTCAAGTTGTTCAGGTTATCTGGACGTTTCAACTAATTGTATATTCTTCTCGCTAACGCTAGATTGATGCATTTATGGACCTTTGTAGCTGTGCCAATGACCTGTGTACGTAACTTCATTAGTCAAGTTCCATCATCTATGTCTCATGGTTGTTTAATTTTCATGCACTCTGTGCTCGGAGAGATTTATTTATACAACTTCTTAATTCAAAGAGAGAATATTTTATAATTTTTCCATTTATTAAAGAACCAAGCACAGTGCATCGATCCTATATACCAAGTTCACACAGAAACTATTCGCCCAGAAAAAGTTGACACAGGAATATCATAGAAATTTTAATGATCAAGAAGGTTTTGATTTTCTGGGTTTATTTATATCTCTTAGAGTGACACATCAATTATCAATTACAACTGGTGGACCTCAAAGCTGGGCCGTTATGGGCAGTCCCTATTGAAATTAAACCCCAGAAAGAAAGAAAACAAAAAAGCATAATTTTTTGATAAGATTTTTCAAATCATCCAACAAGAATCCAGTGCATCCTTTGGAGACCTTAAGACATCTGACGGTCGTCTGGTTTTTATGACATTTGGACTCCTTACCATCATGAAATGGCCCACAAATTGAACGACCCAGATCGATTCATCGGTGACCCAATGCCCATTTTAACCTAAAAGAGACCAGACTTGGGTGTCTTTTGTGGACAAAAATCACTTCCTCCTTTGGAAATATCATCCTCATTCTAGTCAAAGTTCGACTATTTTTAGTCAAAGACTGCCCTCACAACGACTTTTATCCTTTTTTTTGTAATTTGCTACACAAATTTTCAAAGACCACGTCACATGTCTTTTTACGTGATGCTAAAAGCAATTACAACTTCTCAGCCCATAAATATCGTTAATTACTTGTGTGTTTCACCAAGTCTTCTATAGAAATTCTACACATCTTTCCTCAAAGCCTAATAAATCAAAACAAAAGACTTGACCAGTGCAACTCCCTAAAAACGCCCCTCTTCACACTTATAAGAGCGATGTTCAAATTAGTTCTGAGTGGCCTAAAGTGTTTTGCATCTTCCAGAAACAGAAAAGAGAGACAGAAGAGAAAGAGAGAGAGAGAGAGAGAGAGAGAGAGAGAGAGAGAGAGAGAGAGAGGGATGGAGGTGAGGAAGGTGAACGAATTAGACAACAGTAAGGATGATGAAGTTATGCTCCCAGGGTTTCGGTTTCATCCAACGGATGAAGAGCTTGTTGGGTTTTATCTTCGACGGAAGGTGGAGAAGAAACCAATCAGTATTGAACTAATCAAACAGATCAATATCTACAAATACGATCCATGGGATCTTCCAAGTAAGCTTTGGTTTCTATTTTTTAATTTTCTGATCTAGTTTTCATGAAAAGTTTATCTGGGATTGCTTTGGAGGGCATCGATTTTGTCAAATTAGAACTAAATTTATATGTACTAATATATAGTTTCCTCCTAATTATATCTTAAAACTGATGGGATCTTAATATTTGTCCATGCAAAGGAAGAACCAGGACAGAGAAGTGAACTCATGAAGAAGAACTTTTTGATTTTTTCATGTTACCCCCTCCATGGACTACATCATTCAATAACATCTAGATTTTTCCTTCTCCCTTGTTCCAATCCAGTATGGCACAGCCAATCTCTTGAGCCCATAACTTACACCAACTGCAGGACCAAAATAACAAACAGTAATAACTGTTAAGGTGTGGCCTTCTTTGAAACAAATATTATTTTGGATTTCAAAAAGAAAAAAAACAACTGAAATAGATTTATTTTTCCTCTTTTTCTTCTTCTAATAATAACAGTAACAATAATACATAAGCAGCTACCAGAAGTAAGAATGTTAATCTCATCAAAGCTTGAAAGACCTAAATCTTTTTTCCAGTTTAAGAGATATGAGAAATGACAAAGAAAGATAATTCAAGAAGAGAGAGAGAGAGAGAGAGAGAGAGAGAGAGACCACTTTCTGTGTTATTTCTACTGCATATTATTTCTCAAGTTTCTGTTTTCATCATCTTCTCTTTTATCTGATAAAAAATGCAGAAGTCAGTACTGTGGGGGAGAAAGAGTGGTACTTCTTTTGCATAAGAGGCAGAAAGTACAAGAACAGCATAAGACCCAACAGGGTCACAGGGTCTGGATTTTGGAAAGCTACCGGCATAGATAGGCCAATATATTCTGTTGGAGACACCAATGACTGCATTGGCCTGAAGAAATCGCTAGTCTACTACAGAGGGAGTGCAGGAAAAGGCACCAAAACTGATTGGATGATGCATGAGTTTCGTCTTCCTTCAGGAGGGAAAACTGGCAACAGTCCCAACTCCAACAACGCCACACAAGAAGCCGTAAGACCTTTTCCATAGATTTAATTTGTATGTTGATTATTCTACTCTTTTGTTATGTATGTTGACAGTTTCTTCATGTGGGATTGTAGGAAATCTGGACACTATGTCGAATTTTCAAGCGAATTGTGTCATACAGGAAGTACACACCAGACTGGAGAGCAACCCCATCTAGCAAACAAAGCCCAACTGACTCATGTTCTCAAACATGCAGCCTTGAGTCGGACAACATAGATAACTACAAGAATTTTGGTGCTCATCAAGTGGTTCAAGAGATTGAGAAGAAGCCAGCTTTTAATCACATTGATGAAATGAATCAATTGTTACCGAATCATTTGAACCCAATAGCTCAACTTCCATCTGCTACGCTCTACTCAAGCTTTCCAAACACCAATAGCTATGAATTCATCAGAGAGGGGAACTGGGATGAGCTCTCATCAGTAGTAGAATTGGCACTCGACCCCAACCTTCTATATGGTTGTAGATAAATTATAATGAAGGCTTAATTTTGTATTGTAAGTATATATTATATATGGTTGACAATCCTTAGATACATAGAATAATGCCTGGATGGCTGGATGGGGTGGGATGAAGTAGATAGTTAGTTTTGTTGGATTATTCAAAGCTGAATGGATTTTACTCTTGAACAGGATATTATTAACTTTGACATGTTCTTGATTTAATTTGTATCTTGTGAAGAATGCGTTTAAGGAATCTCTGATATGACTAGGCCAGTGTCCCCACCCCCAACTCTTTTTCCAAGCCAATGAAACTGTTGTGGTAGAAAAAACCCACCAGACTGAAAAACATTTGGCAAAGAATAGAGGAAAAACAATAAGAAAATAGATTCTTGAATACATGGCCCAGCTTATAGCCTATGTCCATAGGTGGAGAAGAAGAAGTCTGCTATACAAAACTACAATAGAGAAGCAATGCTGTCCAAAGACATTCTTTCTCAAAAACCCTATAACCCAACATACCTGAGCTCTTACTCACAATACTTCTATATTCTCGCACAATTGAACATGATGTATTAGGGTCAGACCCATAAGATAAAAAATGAATCGGGTTCATATGGCCACAAATGAGAACCAGGACAAGGTACGGGCCATGAAAAAGAATTCAAAGGCCTAACACTAACAAAAACCATGGAGCAAAGAGGAGTGCTAAGTTGCTAATAACCGACCTGCATTTTACATATATAAATACCCCTATCCACATAACATAATAGGGCCCATGAACAAAATTAGGCATAAATCCCACTTAATCAGCAGAGTGAAGTACTAGAAGAGTTTTATAAACTCGTTATTTACTAGCATTTCTGGAAAAAAATTATTACAAAGATTTTTGTATCATCATCTATATTTTCCAGTTTAACTTTGAACAATGATCTGTCTTGTAGAACCCTATATTTAGGCCTGTAAATGGATCGAATTCGAATTGAATCAAGCAAGATTTGAATTTGAATCTGATTATAATTAATGATATTCAAATTTGATTCGATATCCGATGGATATCAAAAACTCAAATTCAAATTTAATTTTTATTACTTAGTCAAATATTCGATTCAATTTGAGTCCAACCACTTAATTTGAAATTTCAAAAAAAAGAGCTTAAATAATTATTTTTGGCATTTTGGTTTCTAAAATTTTTTCTGGTTTTATGAATCAATATCTACATTTTGGTTTCTGAATTAATTCAAATTTAATTTTTCTAGTAATTTTGAATGTTCTTTGCACGTGGCGGTTCTAGATGATGATAATGATAGTAATAATGCATATAATTTTTTTATAAAATTCATATATTGAGATGCAAAGTTTTGGGTATCATTGATATACCTACCTGCTTGGCCGGACTCTTCTTTTTGTAATATTTTATCTTCTTAGTATATCCTTTTTTGTTCATTTATCAAAAAAATGTAAGATTTAAAGAGAGAGAATTCAATGAGGTGAAAAGTAATAGTTCAAATTACATTTTAAACCTCCCAACTAAATAGGGATTAAATTCAAAAATATGGGTATTTTAGTCAAAAACAAGTTTCACAATCTTATTCGTATTTTTAATAGTAGTGTAAATATAAAATTATAGATGTGTTCAAATTTTTTTATAATTTTTTTTTATTTCTACATGTGTAAAAATAATTCTGTTATGTACACTTATTTTTTGTTTAATATGATAAATATATGATATTATACATGTGTCCAATGTTTTTTATAAAGTTTATGTATTCTTTTACAATTTTATGTTTTTATATTTTATTAATTTTTATCATTTAATTATGACATTAAATGTTGACACATTTGACCCATAAGTTGAACTATTGATCTCTACTAAACCAGAAAACAATTTCATTTTGGTTAGTTTTAGATTATGTATTTCATTTTCATCATCATTAAAACTAATTCTTGTTTATTACACTTTTTTCAATTTTATTAATACAAATACCATAAATGTGTTTAATTTTTTATACATTTTGTAATTTTCTATATTTATTTCTATTTAAAAAATTTATTATTTGACTATGACTTCATGGCTTGACCAATTTGATACTAATGGTTGAATTACTTACTTTGATAAAGAATGGTATTGTTTTTGAGTAAGTTTTAAAATATATAGGTTTATATTATTAAATTATTGGGCATAGATCTAATTAGTAGCATTTATTAGTGAAAAAAATAACTTAAGTATAGAATTTAATAAGAGAAAATGGGAGTTAATACCTTAAATATAAGACTTAATGAGAGGAGATTAAATAAGGTGAAAATCATTAATTGAAATTACATTTTCAGACCTCATAATTAAAGATGGACTAAATACATTATGGCCATTTTGGTCAAGAAAAGTTCCACACCTTACTCGTACTTTTTATATTAGTATAAATATATATTAAATAAATGTGGTTAGGCAACAGTCCCTCCCATTCAGACACGTGAAACTCTAATTTTTTTTTTTTTTTGAAAGGAGGATCTCAAAAGTGGTGTTAATTCATTTTTCAAATAGAATAACTACCTTATAAGTGATTTATTCAAAGTTTCAAACACATTCAATCCACTCCCATTCAGACATGCATGTGGCACTCTAATTTTTTAGAAAATAGGATCTCAAAAGTGGTTAATTCCACTTTAAATAGAATAACTACCTTATAAGTGGTTTATTAAAACACACTAAATTCACTCCCATTCATATATGTGGCACTTCAATTTTCTAGAAAATAGGATCTCAAAAATGGTTAATTCCACTTTCAAATCGAATAACTACCTTATAAGTGATTTATTCAAACACATTCAATCAACTTTGAAGTGATACAAACGTGGCTATTTATCAAAAAATAAACACATAAAAAAACTCAAAATAAATTTATCAAATAAATAGTAAATACCAAGTAAAATGGGTTACTGTTTACAAAAAATACCTCATTTAATCTCTTAAATCATATTAAAAACAACATAAATTAATAGCGATTTTCAAACAAAATAGGTCATAATAGATTGTAAATTACAAAGATGTAAGACCCATATTAATTTTTCTAATTTAAATTTTATAATTAAATAATAAATTTCAAACTAAATGATACTGTAGTTGCTCCATACTTAAGTACAGGGGTCATTCTCTAATTTTCATAAGAAAATGCAAGCTAAAAAGATGAAAAACAAAAATGGTTCTAATACTTGTAAAATCACCACAATGGCAAGTGGTTTCCCCATCTTGATAAGAAAATGAAAAAGAAGAGATGGTTCTAATACATGTAAAATCACAGCAACGGCAAACTTGGATGCTCCAATGGCCTGTGGGCTAAGGACATGATAGGGCTAGTCGATGTTTTATACACATATATATTATTTCTCAGATTTTTTTCATTTACAATAATGTCAAACAGAAATTCTAGGTTCGAACATGAGACACTGAGAAGTTGGAGAAGCGATGCAAGAGACACTTGCAATCTTCAATGAACCCGGCTTCAGTTAGGGCCTTGCACTGGCTGAAGCCGATCTCATCTTCAATCAGTACTCTGATCATCCACGGTGGTTCAACCGAGTCCATTCGGCTTCAGTCAGTGCAAGTCCATGCTCACACCCTTCAAACAGCCTCCTGCAGCTTTCTATTAAGAATATTTTCTTATAAAATAAAACACACAAGTATAGAAGTATTCCCAATACAAGGCTGTAAAAGCTGTTGGGATGGACGTGCACAGACTGAAGCCGATCTCACCAAACAGGCATCGGAAAATGTTTAATGCGTCTCCTAGAGAAATATGTGTAACACCCACCTTTATCGCAAAGGAGATACCTGCTACTAACGCCAAAGCTTCAATCCTCTCTGGGGTATCACAGGACAGGGGAATAACTCTAAGCATAAACAAAGTCACCCTTTTCATCCCGAATCACCATTCCTACTCCCAGAGGACGTTGGGCCCACCGATCGATCCGTCCAATACATTTAGCTTGAGAAAGCCAGCATTTGGCCTTATCCAATAAGTTGGGGTTCTAATTTCATCACTCGGTTGGAATTCAAATCAAATTAGGTTATATTCATATTCCATGAATAAAAATTATACTCAAATTACACTGAATAATTAATCCAAACTATAAGAAATATTTGAATATTCAATTCAAATTCAAATTTTTGAATACTGTTTAGAGGCCAGCCTAAGGTTGAAACATTGAGAAATAGTCATGGTTTACAAAACTGGATCGGATAGGATGGTTGGACCGAAAAAATCAAGAACTGGTCAGGTGATGAATTCTGTTTTATCTTAGAATCGTTATTTTTCTAAAAACTGTTGATTTGATCAACAAACCATTGATCCAGGTGGTCAAATCGTTCATTCGATTGACCGGTTTTTATTTTTTTTATTTTTTATCAGAATAAACTATCCATTCAATTCAAAGGATTATCTGATTTGATTTTAAAAACCTTAGAAATTATCATTTAAGCTAAATTTGGAAGAAGTGCAAATATCTATACAAATGCATTCAAAATAATACAAAACGTAAGATTCTGCAATTTACGTTCAAACTGAGCCTTAACAGTGCTGAACAGAATTACATGATAATAATGATGAGATGATGACGAGATAGTCCGTATATACAGAATAACACATGGCCCCATTACATCGTTTATGGGCAGATAAGGTCAAAATCCCATGTGTTGATTTTCTTTTTCGTTAGTCAGTCAAATCCGATTGAGGCTAGTTTGGATGACAATAGTCGTATCATGTAGAGGACCCATCTGTCATTATGTTCTCTAGCGACGAATTGATCATCCACCGTGTTTGGCTGATTCTCAAAGGAATGTAGGTATGGAATTTTCATTGGTTAAAAGTGAGCGATTGATGAGTTGACTTTTCTGAAATAATAGACCTACGATAGAACATTTGATGAATCATGTCCCCTCTTGCATTTCTGTCGTTTAACACCCTAAAAACATTGACTTTGCACGTGAAAAATTTCCTTCTGGTGGTTGGGGGAGGGGTTGTAAAGGACTATCAATTGGGAAGCAACCCGAACTGATTCGACCCCATGTGGGTCTGCATCCGATTATAATAAGGTGGAGAATTTTTTATTTTGTCCTTTTTAGACCAATTAAGACCCTATTTATAAATTCCTAATGCCTCTCCATGTTAAATTTTATATATATTTTTTCCAT